CATGATGAAGTATATTATATGCTTATCAGAAGATTATTCTTGCTTGGGTTCACAACAAAGGACAGACACTAGACTAACCAGGTGCCTCGTCAACTGCCGCCCTGTCTGGGCATCAGTGTGGATCAGTGACAAACATGCCCTGCGGCTGGTCTTGTGTTTTTTTTCTCCACATCCTGGGGCTTAATAAGATGGAGGTTATAACCTCCTGGACAATATTTAACTCACAAATGTGAAGGTCATGTTATTTCATTACCAAATATTTTGAACAGTTTTGCAGCTAAGGCCCGACACCGACTTAATTTTATGGATGACATCCGCGCGCGCATTGATTTTCGCCTGTCGCCCTCAAAAAAAAGAAGAAGAAAAAGATCACCTCCACCGAGGCTCTGGCCTGGCTCTAGGCCTGGGTAGTCCATGCTAGTCAGCGACAAAACGGAGCCGAGCACCCAAGCTATCGAATTCGAAGCTCCACGACTCAAGAACTCAGTACATAAGTATAGTACCGATTCATAAATGCCACAAAAAGCCAGCATGTGCCGGCTTGTCGTATGCGTCACTATCTACTGTCGGGAATTCACAATACCAGCTTTGTATTCCTGTGGTCAGTAGCATTTTTATTTTTGGCCGGAATTTTTTTTTATTCGCCCGCGCGCACTAGTTTGGGGGTCTTCAGAGGATGTCATCCATAAAATTAAATCGGTGTGGCCTAATACAAGAGTCAACTGCCTTCCTTTATAGGTGAGTTTATGTCTGTTGATGACAAGCGATCTGATTATTTGTCTGTCTCCAAAAAGTCAGTTAGTTTTCTTTTCTGAATTCTGTCAGTCTTTAGCATATGCAGTTTAGATAGGGGAGCATGCAGAATCTATTTTAGATATTATTTCCATGTAAAAAGAATCTATATCTAGTACTAGTAGTATATTTGATAAAGTTATATTAATAGATACTATTAGCTGTTTGAGAAACTGTGCTCATGCTCATATGACATTTTGCCAAATTTGGGCACAGTTCCAACTTCCAATCCAAGAACAATTTCAATAGTATGGATCTGAGAGTGCTCCTTTGTGATAGATATGAGAAAACGAAAGGGTAATGAGTTCGGCATTGCCTTTCTTCCTCCCACACTGATGATGACTGTTGTGATTTCTGAAGTTTGTTTTCGTCTCAATTAACGGAGTGCTTTTTTGAGCGGGCGGTGGTGAATCATCAGACAGACTGGGAGAAGTGGTGAAGTGTGCAGGTAGCCTGGAGGCAAGGGTGTAGACTGTTATTGTTATCTCAGAGGTGACTAAACTTCACTTAAGCCCACACCTGGCAAGATTTCAATGTTTGATCAATGTTTAAAGGATGGGTCCGAGGCACAGACCACTTGACGAAAGTTAACCATTCTTCGGTTTCTGATCCTGTCAAAGGAACGTCTTTTAGTTTACCTTAAAGGTTTTATCTGACCAAAATATAAACTACTTTGAGGTTTTCTTATTTTATTCAGCTGCCAGTGTACTTAATTTGACATAATAGAAGAGAACCCCCCTATTCGTATCTTCGTCCAACCCCTTTCCAGTACTTCAGTGAACGCTTATTCCACTAGATTATACATGTAAGGGCGTGTTGTCACTGTTGGTAATTTTTTACACGTTATTATTCACAAGACCAAGGCTTTGTGGTCAAAGCGTGGCAGACCATGTTTTGGAAATGTATTTTGAAACCCTTGTACGACCAAGAATGCCCGTACCTGCAAATAAGGTAGGCTTGTAATGTTATATACGTGCTGTTGGCCAGACAACCACAGAAGGTTTATTACTGCATTACAAATCTGTATCAGTATAGCCGGTATACATTTGTAACTGCCCTTCAGCGTAACAAACTAATGTGTAACAGTATACCAGTACTATAAAATTTCTCAGGATAGCTCTTTTTGGTGCGTTACACCATACAGTTACAATATATACTGAAGACTGGGATATCTTTTTACAATTTGGGATTTCAGTGAAGGCAGGTTGTCCTCGCCCTTATCAAAAAAGATCAATCCCAATCCTTATGGTGTACCATAGTGGTACTTGGGGTATAGTTTGATTACATCTAAATGTTGGTATCAAAGTTCTTAGTTTCACTCCACTGTCACAACTCCTTTTAGCCAGCAAGTTTAGCTTAAATTTTTAGAATACAATGATATTACAGTATCATGTATAACACTTCTCAGGCCAGCACATGTACACAGCTAGTCTGATAATGTCATATGTAACTCAAGATCTCTCTTTCACTTAGGAAGTGAAACACCTCTCAGTTACAAGAGGTAGTGAGAACCTATGAATGTTTATGACAGAGATTATGGGGGCTATACCCCGGTCCTTGGAGTAAGCACAGTCACACCTGTGCATATAAAACTTGAGAAGTTAGAGCCTGCCGTAAACCTGTTATGCCAGTGGCTGGATTTGTTTTCAGTACATCAGGTGATTGGGTTGGATGAATCTGGTGACTTTTTTGGGGGGGTGGGGGGTATTTTTTTAGGATAAGAAATTGCCATTGACAAGATGTCAGGAATTAATGCCAGTCTCTTTTATTGAAGATAAACATGTAATTATGATTAGTATCTATTATCTTCCTTATTCTCCCTTCCAACATTGTCCTTTACGGCTTCAGTGTGATCTTTTACTAATCTTGCATGTTGAAGAGAAAACTTTTTCCAATTGTTGTCTTTAATGTCCCGATTTGTTCCTTGTCAAATGATATTTATGATTCAGAAGTATGTCCCAAGGTATAACAACAGAAGTGCCAAGTCACAGGACAACAACATTCCATTTTGCTGTAAAAGCCTGGTGGTCATATGATGCCTATCAGGTGTTGCCGGGCAATCTGAAGTTAAAGCGTGGCTATATTTTATGGAAAATTATCCCATTTTGTGCTTATCAATGCCTTGTGCTTTTGTGTTGGGTCCCATTTGTGCATTGGTACGACCCAATCATTGTAAAAACGTCAGGTTTACAAGCAACCTTTTCACTGTGGGCATGCCAACAGTCCTGACAAAATAGTTATCATAAAACCCCTGCCATTCAGCACATGCAATAAAAACAGTTGATTCTTTGTACTTCATCACACAATATTTCAAGTTGAAGCCAGAATAGTAAAGGTAGACCAAGAAAGGTTCTACATCCTTTGCTTATTTTCCCATGGCCAATAGAGAACCCTATTAGTTTGCTCATGAGGGAACATTGATTTATTTAGAAGACGTTATTGAACACACCTGTCCAAACCTTCATGTCAACAGATCACTACAAACGACTGCCCTATTGGGATAGCAGTATAATTACCACAGGTATTCTTGGCAAACACTCTTCCGTTTGAGTTCTCCAGAGGATTGTGTGTCTTTTATATCTTCCCTACTTATTATAACCAAGGACATCCTATCTAATGTCCTTGACATTATTATATAATAGCAAACTTTCAGGAAGGAAATAATATCAGGCTGTGAGAGAGGGAGAATTTGCTATTTTTGAGAGCTTCGTCAACACGTTGCTAGCAATCAATAAAGTACTTTTGAGGTCTGGGGATTTTATCTTGAAAACAACATCAAGGGTAATGTATGGAGCTATAATGCATGTAAATCATGCAGGTACCAAGGGACTGAGAAGGGTTTCTGATAAACTCTTGACATATTCTCTGAAGTGTGTACTGCTTTCTGAGTCTGTAGGTTAGTAGAAGCCACTTCATCGAGCAAGACTGAGTTAACTACATTTACAGTGATGTTGGGTAGTTTTGTTATCGAGGTAAGTTTGATCTGTCTTCAAAGATTTCACATATCGTCCATTTGCGATATGATCCCCTTTTGGAAACAGGTTTCTGGGGGGGGGGTGCTTATTGGAGGGTTCTTTATGTTCAACCTTCTGGCTGAAAGATATATATGTGTGATTTTATTATTCTGTTTTTAAAACGTGGCTTCAATACAGCGACAGTATTTATGAATTGCTGTCCCGGACAGTTATGTAATTTGTTCTTTTATATTTCTATCTACTGAATTATGTAGATTTCTACATTGAAGAACTAAATCACTAATCAGTAAATGGTTTATACAAAGTAATTCAACCTTCAGCAATCCTATAACTTTGTTTGGGGCTACAGATAATATGGCATATCAAGAGGTGCCTAATTCGTTAAATACTGGGACATTTTTGGTTTTATAGCTGGAATCATGCCATATGTATTTTTGAATGGAGTATTAAAAAGAGATTTTCTACATGTGACATCTGCAGTAAGTCCGCTGAGCCTATAGCTACAAATATCATGGATTTGTGGTTGAAAAGTATTCTCTTGGGTGCCATAAAGATAAAGCTGGAGCTTTGGATGATCTACTTATTTGAATTGCAAATATATCTTGCCTTTTTCAAAAGTATGAATCCATTCAATATGCTTGATATGTGAAAGAGAAGTTATGGTGTCTAATGTAAAACTAGTACCCTAATTCTATTATCTTTGGTTGATATTAACATTTAATCAATTAAATGCTGAATCCTTGACTTGGAGCTGGAAAGGCTTAAGCTGGTAAGCTTAATACAGATAAAATATTTAGAGGTCAATGAGCTTGCTGAATTGAAGCATCTTGCCAGCATCAGTAAATGGTGTGTCCTTGATGGATGGTAACAGCTGGAGAGAGATACTCTTGAAGCTGAACCTGCTGCTATAATAGGCCAGCAGGCCGTGAATGTACCCTGCACAATACCCTTACCCTACCGAGGTGACGTGTGGAACACAGTGAAGGGGCATCGCTGCAGATCGCGAGCATTAGCTCCGTCAATTTCATACTTGATGGTGCTGTTAATTGACCTTGCTCTCAGCCAATGACAATGAGCAGAACGCAGGGCGACGCCCCTGGATATCGAGAAGCCATCCGAGCCGTCGCCCGTGTTCCTAAGGTGATGGAGACCTGGGGATAGACAGAAAGAGGCCCATTGCTCGACAGAATCCCTAGAATTTAATGGATTTGCTGTATTGACCACGGAGGCATGATGGCGATGCAGAGTGGAGGGGGACGGAATGATGGAGGTGTCGAGAGCAAAAATCTGACGACCCTGTCGGCAGGGCTGTTCCATGTCACCAGCATTCCCTTTGACATGCTCCTGGCTTCACAGGTAACACTCAACTTCAGATGGGATCAGTTCATGTGACATGCAGATCAGAGGAGGGAGGGGGGTTATATTCAATTTGGAACTTTGCTTGGGATAATATTTGTGTGTTAGTTGATTTGTGTGCTAGTTATTTGCATAGAAATAAGATAATTACGATAAATGTATGGTATAGTTGTAGATTGCACATTGCATGATATCAGGTTTGCAATGATTTTTACTCTATTTTTCATATCAAGCTTTTCTGCCTTGTGGTGGCATTATAAGGTAATAAACAACATCAAATAAACGTGAACTACCAATAAATATAGGTACTTTCAAATTCATTTTAGTAACGTATTTTGAATACCAATACAAAATCATATAACATTTGCATTGTTTTATCCCAAGTTTCAGCCCAAAATGTTTCCATTTTGTTTCATCAGATAGCTGCATCAATCTTTTATTTATTTTACAATGTTGTGTAGAAATGTCCGAAAACCCACAAGGTCAGTATCAGTAAGTGGGTGTTTACACCACAATTACATGTATGTCAGTCACCTCATTATAGCTGTGTATTAGATGTGTAGATGACCTTCCACCCTCACATCATGTACAAACAGATACATTAGGCTGATAACGTTGTTAGACTGAAGTTCGTTACCAAGAGCTACTTCAAACATGTACTCAAGGATCTCAATAAGCCATAACTTGCTACTACATCTGTCAGTCAAATTTGCAATCTCTGTTCCTTATATGCATTTTTCAACTAAGATGTTTAATGATTAAGAAAATGAACTTATTATAATAGTGAAAAAGCTGTTGTTGATTTTATGACAAGAAGGTTGTGTCTAATGTTTACTGCTCTGTTGTATATGTGCATGAGTCTTCAGACTGGCATGTGGTGACCTCAGAGTTCACGTTGTTTTGCAGAATGTTGGGAAATACTACACATCCTTGTTCATAGCAAGACAAACACATCAAGCCGTCCTCAGGATTTGGTATTCAAGAAATGCCTACTGTCCTGCACAGTGGAATCTATTTACCCAACATGTACATTGACATACCGGCAACTGTTACTGTTGTGTTAAGAAGTAGATACTGTTTTCTTTGGGTGTAAGTAGCTCTTTGTGACATTTACAGAACTGGCTGCTATTGCGTTCAGGAATGGACGACCCTTTGCAATAACCAAACAAAAACGTAGTACTACACAGGTGGGCAAATTTGATCCAGTTAAAAAAAAATGAAAATTTCCAAGCTTTCCATTCTTTGATGCAAGAGGATTGGAATGACAAATAGGGAGTGCTTTTGCCGTTTCTAATGCTCTTTACAAAAGACTCCTTATCTAGCAATATTGAGGACAAGTGACAATATCCCCTTGAATCGCACTTCTTATCCACACGAAACAAAGAATAATGCCAACCAAGGGTACAAAAAGCACTTTGAACACAGCCAAGACATCACCATAGACTTACAATGTTTGTTTTAAGGGAACAGGCTTTACGCATCAAGAAATTGTAGAAGGGAAAAGGAAAGACGTGACTCAAACAAGGTGGCCAACAATTGAAACTTGACAACTTCAAGGTTGTTTACAAAACTAATTAGAGGTAAACTCAAGAAGGAAAAAAGTATTCATTTCACAGGTTTGGGACAATCGGTATGCCTCCCTGCTTAAAGGCTTTGTTCGTAATAGTGGTCTTAAGACTAAGGCTTTCCTGTCTTTTAAGTACTGAAAGCCAAGTTCGTGTTACTGTTTGTTTCATCACTGAGTCGTATCTAATCGCAGGTTTGTTTGAATTGTTCTCTGCAGCTGCAGGTTTTTTCTGTCATGTCTGGACTTTTTTTTTTTACAAGAACTGTTTTGATCTCAGTCAAATATATCCTTACTGAAATTAATCAGGCAGTAAAATGCCAAATGTAGCTCAATACCCTAACCTGAGTAAAATGGCAAATGTAGTACAATACCCTTACCTGAGGTGTGATTTTTTTGGCAGATTTCAATACACATTTGGCAAATATTAACACACATTCCTATTTTAAGACAGATTCAGATATGGGACCTGTCATGGTCAATGTCAAGCATATTATATTTTTCCATATCACCTTTGTGCATAGGTTACCACTAGCGTTTCTATTGAATAACAGATTAGGATAGACCAATACCTTCCAACTTTTTACGATGAAAGAAGCCCTATCCCAGATGGGGAGGTAATGCCTCAATAGCAGCGAAATGGCTTTTGTCCCATTCTCTCCTTATTAACCCAATTAAATTCTTAACCAATCAGGTGACAGAACGAGCCCTTGTGCTTTGCAGAAATTGCTTTGCTGAGGTTTATGGTGTGTGTCACATCCTCAGCACTATTGATGAATACTGTGATTATCCGTAGGCCCTAATGGGGAAAGCGGTAAAAACTGTTACAGTAGTAAAATGGAATGCCAGAACAGACCAGTGGTTGTTCCTTACAACTTTTACGTGAATATTTAGTACTGCTCATTAGTTAGTTATTATTCCTTTTGTCTCCCTGGCTGGATTGTGTATTGAAACATAGTACATAAAGTTGTCAGCCTCTTTGACCAGGTATAAGCTACAGCCAATGATATATATATTGGTGTTTGGGAAATAATGACTTCCGGCAATGATGCAAACTACGGTCAAAGGTTATGTGATCACTACATGATTCTAATGTTGTGCTCCTTTAAACTTTGACATGTAATCTTCTACCAAATATGGCATGGTGATGAGCAGGAAGTGGGATGGCCAACCGCCTGTCTGCCACCTGTCTGCATTGGTTTTCATCTGGTTTGTTGCATGCACAGGATATTAACTAGTCTTAATGGTTAACCACTCTTGCTTCCTGTTGGTCAAAATGTTTATCTTTGTGTTTGAAAGATAACGTTTTCTTCCCAACCTATACTATAGTCCTAACCAGAAATTTAGTTCCTTTACATTTTAGTTACAACATGGCAGTAAATAAGGATAGAATTAGAAATAGGATAGCGTTGATCAGTACAGGTCATGTATATTGCAGTGTTGTGAGTGGTCTTGGTTTACATGCAATGTTTAATCAAAGTGTTAACCCAAGTCATTTCCTGTATATTTAGGAAGTGGCTAAAAGGTTGTCTAATGGCAAGATTGAATAATATTCAAAAGCTGCCTTCCCACCTTTTATGAGAAAGAATTATTTACCCTAAACTTTAAAGAAAATGATCAACCCAAAAATATTACTCGTGTTAAAAAAAAATCACCCTTGAACCACACTAGTGCCTAAAGTGGGGGCGTTTCAGAGCCATGTAGGGTGGGGTTGTGTACATTCTCAGAAAACAGGCCCCAACTTTTCTGTCAGAGAATCAAACTGTTGGATTCCAGGTGGCCAGGACAATTGTGATTACAGGATGTATATTTGCGAATTTTGAGAAAGTGAGTGAGTGAATATTTTAGAAATGATTGTAATAAATATTTGATTGCTCTTCTAAAACTTCCTTGTAAGAGAACCTCTCAATACACAAAAGTCACCAAGTAGTTTTTGTAAGATGTTTCAAACACTACTGTGACAATGGCTATTGAACATATGAAAGATTATGTCTCAATATGTCATGCATGTTGTTGATGTGTTTGCTAACAATTAACATTTGAATGTGTACACTTCTGTCTGTACTTGAAAGGGAAAGGACAAAAAAATCATCAAGAGAAAAGGCTTGTTTTGGGACAGTACTTGTACCAATTTACAGGTCTGTCCCCTAAGTCGTTGATTAGCCCAATTGATTAGCATTAATTGACTGATTAGCCAACTCATTAGCATATGTGAAAGCACCCTTGTTGCCAGTTTGCTCTTGAAACAACTTGTGAGTGAGGAGCAGAATGGTTGACAATACAGGATTCAAGTGTGGTTGAGTGCCTGTTGTCTTTACATCAACATTTTTTGTCTGTTGCAATTGTGATGATCACCGTGGGTACAAGTGGTCAATGTTTTGTCTGTTCTGAGCTTCAAAACAAAGAAAAGCTATTTGCTGTCTGTGATAGTGGTTTAAAAGTATGTCTTACTTCTAGAAACGTTGGATGATAAACATTGATACCCTATTCTTGGAATTTTTCCTACAACCTGTATCCCCTCTTACAAATGGATGTACCTTCCTGGTAATTTGTTTTGGCTGGACAATATCATGCGTCACCAGCTGGGCTGATAAGGAAGCCACACCCCCTCCAGTGATCTCACGCATATGATTAAGCAGCCGACCAATCATCCGACAGGGAGTCTAGCCAGCTTATATGAGTGTCTGGTCAGGGTTGGTAGACTGTTATTTCCTGTAGGTACCATGTGTGTATCAGTTTCCAGTCTGTAGAGGCATGCAAACCTGACAGGAGGACTAGCAGCAAGCACAATAGAAGATTTCTGACTCTGTGCCAAGCAAGCAGCATGCATCTGTAGTGACTTTGTCGGCGACAGATTTTCTTGGACTATCTATTAGCATTCTTTTTACGAGTGGAACATTTCTACTTCGCCACGGTGGATTTTCTGTCAGAAGTTGGTGGAGATTTTCGGAAAACCTGCCTGAAGATGCGGCTTCCCCGCGTGGAGTTTGACATGGAAGAAATGGTGCAGTTGGTAGGGTTCAGTATGGTAAGTCTGACGCTTTCTTACAAAATCCACTCCAGTATAGACTATAGTTTGGGTTTGCCATTCTGACAGTGTTGCACAGGCAGCTTGGCACAACGACATATACCCAATTGATTTACTGTGATTATGAAGCATAAATGTCAGTGCTTGCTGTAAACAGGATTTTTATCTCCTTCTCCTAGTGGAGAACAGAACTGTCGTACTTGAACATTTTATAGGATTTTAATGGAATGCGGTTAATCCATGATGTGGCTTTGCATTTCAATACCCCTTGCCAAGCAAAAGAGAAGGCATGATGGTGTGTACAAAATTATGTATGAATGCATAGATCCTTCCAAATGCACAATGACTAACTACTGAGTATAATGCTCAAGGATTCCAAGTAGCTTGATGAAAGTGATAAGATATTTTTGGCTCCTTTCCCCATAACTTGATATGAAAGCCAACCTTATCAGTGGTAAATACTGGGTTGACAGTCATCAAAAGTGCACCCTTGTTAGGTGATGACAGGGGAAAGTGAAGCCTGTTTTCACTTGAAAAGTCCCTAAGGACAGGGATGCATAATTAGCTTTTAAGTTGACCTATAAAGGCAGTGTTAATATGCACCACATGTTTCAGCAAGGAGGCAGGATTTTTCTCCAGCCATATAACAATTACACTCTGCATATTGATACATTTCCTTCCAGTTGTCCAAGGGAAAACAAGGAAATAATGTGTGATGTCCAGAAAACAGTCCTCGACAAACGCAAAGTTAGCTCTCAAGATCAGATAGGAAACAGCTGTTGTGGTGGGTTTATCCAGGTTTAATAGGGCCATAATTTGACGGCCTTGTTTCCAAGAAAAAGGAACTTTTACATGCTGTTGTGTACTTTCTGCTTTCACCTTTCGATTATGGCTGTCAGTAGCCTGTCACCTTGTGACACATGGTTCCTCAAATCTTCTAGACTTGACTAACGTTTTGTCGCGTACAGTTGACTTGTTACGTACAAAGGTAAGAAGTCTGGTAACGGATTTACTGTCGTTACAAGGCCGGGTACACCGGCTTTTCATTGGCTAGCTGTTTACCGACCACTCCAGGCGATAACAGATGATATCATCACATGACATCAGACAGTTTAACTATCTTGACCTGTGCTCAGCAAAGCTTTTGTTTGGTGAGCCTGTTTACACAATTGGAAGGGTATGTTGTTCGCAGTTTTCTCTCTTGTACAGGGCCAGGATGTGTGTAAGACATTCTTGTATTTAAAATTCCTCCTTGTAAAGAAACCATTCTCTCTCTGCTCACTGCTTGATAACATCTCTTACGTGTAGTGTGTAAACTAAACACAAGTGCAGTAAACAAAACGTCACCAGCAATACAGGAGTGCTGAAGGAATTCTAAAAGCATTGTTTGTGTTTCTATGAAAGGAAGGATGCTGTGAAGACAAACAACATGCATTGCTTGTAGTTTTCACCTCTTCTGCTTCTTTTAGGCTTTGCAATAAACAACAACCCTTCTAGATTTGACAATGGTTCTCAAAGTTTCTTCCAAATAGAGATCAGAGCTAGCTTGCTGTCATAACCTTTTGCTTAAAGCTTGACATTTCTTTAGAAAGAATTTGTAAATACAAATTACCGAGGTGTAAACAGAAATTAAGTAGCATATGTGTAGTATTTTCTTTGCCATTTTTGGCAAGGCCACCAAAACAAGCCGGCAAGGTCATGATGACACTCGTATGACTCACCGTACCCCTACCTTTGCACGGGAAATGCATCATTACTGATCCAGACGTGCAGGGCCCGTGCGTGGGAAGAAGACATTGATTGTTGTGTGGTTTGTGAGAAAGCAACAATACGCACATACTGTCCTTGATGACTAATGATACAATTGGGTTAAATTTAGAAAATATTGAATCTTCAGTGACATATTACCTGAAAACAGTAGTTTCTAAAGCTTACATTTAATGATTTATTTCTCCCATAATTTTTATAGTTTCATCACATCTATTCTGTCATTTCTGCAGTTCTTTGTTCTTTGGGACCCTCCTAAATAGAAAAGTTTTTAGCAGACAGTAATACAAACAGTTGTCAGACAGAGATGGTGTACAGACCAGCCTGTGGTTTCCATGTGGGTGTCCCCCTACAAGAAGTCAGTCCCAAATAGTGGTAACTAGACATGGTCTGGGTAGTTTTAGAGGACTTACCCCCTACTCCGACAGGAAGTGGTGTGTTTTTTCTTCACATACAAATGTCAGGTTGAATTTTGACACAGTTCTTTTCCTCAGTACATACACGCAGGTGTATCCAGTAACCTGTCATATGACAGGTCTGATATTAATAGGCAGGCTACTGGGGGTAGGGAGCTAAAAATGTTGATTTCATGGGAACAGGATATCTTCAATTTGCCATGAATTCTTATCAGGCTTCTCCCATGTGATCTCTGCTGCCCAGATCATAACAACTTCAACCAGGTCTCGGAATACAAAGAAGTGATAAGGCAACATTTATGTTTACTGCAGATCTTCCTCAAGACTTTTGACAATTTGCAACATGTTTTGTAAAGTTGATGGATGGTTGACAGCTTTCTGCATCTTTCTCTCCAGCAGAAGTACCATTTGTCAACAAACTAACAAACAGACAGACAAACAAAAGCTTCTGTAATGTCTTCCTACTGGTCTATCTGTTGCTAGGAATGGTGCAAATTACCAGTGATAAGACTGGAATGTACATGGTTTTCAAGAGGGTGTGATTCTATGTTTAGCACAGTAAGGACCATTAGAAGATACCGGCAGCCTCCTCCTGCCCATTTAGTATAATGGTACACTTGTGTGATCAGGTAATGAATAAAGGAGCCATCAAAGGTACCTACAGGTGATTACCAGAGATGCCCTTTAATCGAAAAAGGATCAAAGAGTTAGACAGTTGGTCCTTCCTGCACAATTATTTGTGTCCAGGGTTTTGCCAAAGTGTGGTAAAAAGAAGGAAGGCAACAAATTACAGTAACTGTTTGTGTGAAAATTGGTCAAAATTAAAGAGTCTGTATTTTTTATTAGCCCAGGTTGTATACTAGATCGCTTTTCTAAGCAACTTAAGTGCTTTAACTCCTGCTGTCAGTTCAATACATATTGGAAATTTCTGTCATAAAAAGTAAGGCTCAGTAGCAGGGTCATTTTTGTAGCTGAAGTGGCAGATAGAGTGGAATGAGAAAGTCCCCTGTGCTGATTCCCTTGATATATCTTACTGTCCTTGGAATGATGCCATTCCGCTGCTGGTGAAATTGGATTGCAGGAGTTCTATATACCGTGACAGACATATGGGACTGGGTCCAAATGTCTCCATATATCATATGCCATGGTGTTTTTACTATAATCCATTGGCTGCATGAAAACATAGCAAGGGAACATTGTGATGCCCCACTAAGGAAGGGGACTTTCTTGTCGTATAGTTTTATCATGTAGAAGCTAAAGGGCACCACATTATCAGTCATACTGGGAAGGAAATGTAGGTTAATTTCAGTTTTTATTAGGCCATTTTTGGGAATGTGATCTTTGGAAATATCACGGAAGTAATTCGTAAGTTACTCACGATCACTGGTATTCCCAGAAGTACCGGGTAGTTCATGAACTTTGTGACAAGTTGTTTTGTTTGATAAACTTGCAATTGCCCAAGAGCCTATTTTTTTTTTACTCCCCACATGCCTGTTGTTAAAAAAAACAATATGGTTTTAGAGGGTAGTTGCTAGATTGTCATTTAATGAATATAGAAAGTCATGGAAGATCATCCCAAATGGTTTAGAATGGGAGGAAGCTACCATGCTATAATCTCTAGGATTAGGGAGATTAGGGGAAATGGGGATTATCCCTGCAGTTGGCCCAGTAGATTAGGTGTAATTTGGCACGTAGAACACAGTGTCTTAGCAGGGGGGACATCCTCACAGTTTGCAAGTGATCTTCCCAACAAGGTGATTTGAATAACATTTTATGGCCCATTCCACCACAAAGCTAATCTGAGTTTTGACTTGTGTGTATTGACTATATAAAAGCATCCTTTCTCACCTCTCTAAAAGCTATAATACCGGAAGCTGACATTTTCCCTTCACATCAGAGCATTTAGTCTGGCTTTGTTTCCAAGAAATCCAATTTTGCTTGTGTCATGGATTTTTTTTCTTCTAAATTCAAGCCTTTGAGCAAGGAGGTTCAATACCTCCTTGCTTTGAGGTATGTGTGCCCAGTGTTAAATGAAGTCTATCATTGATTGTGGAAAATTGATCAACTACTTCTAATGAAACAAGAGTGAGAATCGTGGTGTTATTTCAATTCTAGACAAGGTTAATGCTGAATATTCTGCAAAATGTATCTTTATTGCTCGTTGCCTCAATGTATATTGATAAAGACAAAGCTTCCTGTCATTGGTATAGAAATGATCATCATCACAACTTGGTTTATTTAACAGCTCAGCTGTAACTGTTCCAGACAGAATAACGATTTTCTGAATTGATCTCGCCACCAGCTATGACCCTGTGTTAGGTACTCAAATGCTCTCTGGGCTTGACCCCATAAAACTGTCAAGTTTTCCCATTTTCTCAATTAATTATGAAAATCCCTTGTCAATTTTAACAAAATTTGCATGTAAATTAAGAGCTGTGCCATGACAGACATATTGCCAGTAGCTATAATAAAAGCGTGAGCAGTAATGTTGATTGTTTCATATCAGAAATTACTATGGTTTCATTCTTATTAGAATGCAACATACTTCCAGTTAATCAAGTACATAGTACATGTATCTTTCAAGTACCACAATGTATGTGAGTAAGAAGGTTGATAGTTTTCCTAATCCATCATGGTTTAAAATATCAACTGTGGAATTCATCACTGCTCAACATAATTTATAACTGTCATCACATTGAAAGCCTTGATATCATATTGAAGTTAACGCACGCCTTCCAAGAAAAGCGGAAATTTAAAGATGTTGTCTCTCCGGGTTTCCTTGAAAAGTTTCCTCCCAAAGTAAGGATGATGAGTAGC